AAAAATGCTATTGTTAATTTGATAAGGATCACATTGAATCTGGTAATATAGTCATTTTCACATTATTGATTCTTCCTACCCAGGAACATGGAATCTCTCCATCTGTTTATGTCATCTTTGATTTCTTATAATCAGTGTCTTATAATTTTCTGTATACAGGTCTTTTGTTTCCTTAGGTAGGCTCATTCCAGATATTTTTTCTTTCTGTTAAATAGCAATGGTGAATGGGATTGATTCCTTAATTTTTCTGATTTTTCATTGTTACTATATTGGAAACCAAGTGATTTCTGTGTATTGACCTTGTATCCCGTGACTGATGAATTCACTGGTTAGTTCTAGTAATTTTGTTAGTTTCTTTTGGGTTTTCTATGTATAGTATCATGTCACCTGTAAACAGTGAGAGTTTCACTTCTTTTCCAGTCTGGATTCCTTTTATTTCTTTTTCTTCTCTAATGGCTGTAGTTAGGACTTCCAAAACTATGTTGAATAATAGTGGTAAGAGCAGACACCCTTGTCTTGTTCCTGATTTTAGAGGGAATGCTTTCAGTTTTTCACCATTGAGAATAATGTTTGCTGTGGGCTTTTCATGTATGGCCTTTACTAGTTGAGGGAGGTTCTTTCTATGCCCATTTTGAAGTGTTATCATAAATGGATGCTGAACTTGGTTGAAGGCTTTTTCTGCATCTATTGAGATGATCATATGGTTTTTATCTTTCAATTTATTAATATAGTGTATCATGCTGATTGATTTATGTATATTGAAGATTCCTTGCATCCCTGGAATAAACCTGACTTGAATATGGTGTATGAGATGGTGTATGAGCTTTTTAATGTGTTGTTCAATTCTGTTTGCTAGAACTTTGTTGAGAATTTTTGCATCTATGTTCATCAGTGATATTGGCCTGTAACGAACTAAATGGATTTTTATGTCATGTTGACACCAGCATTGTGGAACATGGTTTATCAGGTTTATCTATAAGAGAACAGATCACAAAAGAAGCTGGAAAACTGACACGACTGCCTTTCCTTTGTTTATAACTAAGTTATCCTATGGACACAATCATTATAGACTACAGGTATTATCTTGTAGTTCTGTTGGGCTCAGGTGTTTAACACACCTAATCCTTGGAAAATATTTGTTCCTATATCAATACCTGTATTTGTTCAATTTGCTCTCAAAGACAGCATGCTTACAAGCTGATAAGAGGTGTTACCCCTTTCTCTAATGATTCCACTTCCCTTAACCTTCCACGAGTGGAGGCTGCTCTGTCAAAATGCTGAGGCCCAGAGGAGGGGAATGCTTGTGGATGGTTTAGAAACGACAGTGAACTGCTTGGAGATACTCTACTCCCACCTCCCTGTCATGCCCTGGTTGGTTCATGAGGGGCTTTGTTGCTGGACATCACCTATAAATAAATAAGCAATGTCAAAAGTGGCTCTATGAAGGTAACTTATAAGTGGCTGGGGGTAGCAACTTCCAAACATTGTTTCCATCACAGTTTTTGCCCCACAGATTCTAGCTTTATCTACCAGCAGCAGGAGGGGTAGGGTAGAGGGAGACTGCAGCAGGCTTTTATATCCCAGACCCTCTTAACTGCACAAGTTTTACAACTGTGAATAAATGGATGCTTGCACCAATTCAAGACAAGAGTTTTAAGTATCTCTGCTTAAAGCCCTCGGTTACTTTTTTCTTAATGGGCAAGGACCTGCCTTCTTTGAATAAAGAAAGTGAAATTCCACTATTCACAGGAATACAGTGGAAGCTAACGTGGGGTTTAAAAAGACCAGGGTTTAGGAGGCATGAGAAGAGCAGTTGAGACTTGGAATAGCCCTCACAGAATATTATAAGTAGGACTGGATTTGCAAATGAAAGCCAATGCTTGCTGAATGGCTTTTGTGCTAAGGGCTTTATACATGTTATTTATCACACTATCACTGTAAAGGGGAAGCTGAGGCTGAGGTCCCACAGCTGGAAGAAGGGGGCACTGGAGCAGGGCAGACACCCCCTCGGAAGCTCACACTCCTACCACGATGCTCTGTTTCAGTCGTGACACCTCTTGTCTTAACCTTGGCATGATTCACATCAACTAGGGTGGTAAGGCTTCTAAACAGTGCTGATGCCCGATCAGGCAGCTTCAGAGATCTGCTTGCTGGTGAAGGCCATCTAAAGTTACAGACATGGTAGGAATGCTGGAGCTGGAGGCTGGCTGCCTTGTCAAAAAGGAAGGTCTTTGACAGAAGTGAAACTGTACAGCCTCAGCCTTTGAAACGCACTCTTGCTTCTGAATCACAGGAACTGAACTCACAAGATACTAATGTACAGAATGCCAGCTTACTACTCTGTAATGATAAGCTACACCCTTCCAGTGAGTGACCAGAGTGTTCACCGTTCAGAGAACTCTCTCCTAAGAATTACAGTCCACAGAAACCTTTGTAGTCACTCTTAACTTCATTTGTTGGACTCAAATGAGAATAAAGGAAAAGAAGGCACTGATGTTTGGAATTCCATGAGGGCAGCTAGATCTACAAAACCAGAGGTGGTCCAGGACCAGTTAGTTCACAAACAAGCATTTTAAGAGAGTGCTGCAAAGCAGGATGACCAGGTGGTATAGAACAGTCCCACAGTGAGTATTTTCACACATGATCCTCAGGTATCTTGAGCATTTCTGAAAGATGTCTAACAAAAATTTCCTAAGTTTTATGAAAGTGGTTTCTATTAAGTTTGGTAAATGAGAAATCTTATACTAAGAAATATACTATAAACTATTTGCAGTGTGATGCATATACTGTCAGCAATCTGGGGCCACTACTACTAAAATGAAGATTTGGAGAGGACATCATATAAAGAGTGAAGGCCTCTGACTAAGAGTTTCCTGGGAACCTAGAAGAAAATGATAAGATGTCTACAAATAAATTTCTAGATTAAAAAAATTTCCCCCTAGATACTGGGAAATATATACTTGTCAGTAACCAAAGTTATGGCCTAATCTAACATTTAAGTCACATTTTTCAAAAAGTTGCTCAAAATCCCATGCCTGAGTGATATTCGTACATAATTTAAAGCACTGTACTGTGGTATTCCTCATTAGTACTTAGAATAGAATAGAAATGATGGATGTCTTGATAAACTAAGTACCTTCCTGTTTGAAATGTGCAGAGACATAATTTACTAACTTGGTTCCACTTAACAAGTAGGAACTGAATTTTATTCTTCAAAGAGAATTACAGAGCATGAGAACAATGTGAATATTCTTAAAAAGGAAACTGATGCCTTTTCATTCTACCTGAGTTAAAAACAATGATGAACGTCATCTGAGTTCATGGGACCCATAATAAATGACTATTAAACCAGACTTACAAGATCAATGCTAGGAACACCCCAAGACCAAATACGATTAATTAGTTCTATAGTTTGGTTTTAAATCTTTAAAACCTTAACACACTTTTTAATTTATTTTATCAGGCAAAATAATTTACTTATAAAAGCAACCTCACTTACAGAACTGTAATAAAATTTTTTCAACACTGAAAAATAAATAGCAGTTTTTGCAATTCTGATTTTACAGGGAAATTACACTTTCTGGCATACAATGTTCTATCAAAATGGAAGGCTAAATCACTTTGCTTTGCTTTTCACAACAGAAATAAGCATGTATACTTATCAGTCTTGGGAAATCAACTTAGGGACAAGAAAGGTGTGCTGTAAAATACAATCATTGGAAAAAGGGGATCTGCTGCCATCTACTGAGTGGCAATGGCAACATGACCTTGGGTATTAAGTTAGGAAACACTGTAACTTCAGTTACATGCAACTCAACAGAAACACCTGTGCAAGTCCTGAAAGATATGTGCAAAAATGAAAATGACTGCTGTGCTAAAAGTGAGGACTGGATGGTTTTTTTTCTTTAAGTGACATCCTACTTTTTAAACAAAACCAAGTAGGCAGTTAAAAAATGATTACTGAACATGAGGAATACTGAAGAGAGGAAGACTGGCAAATTATGTAAACGAAAAGTTTCATGATAAAGAGTAGCTTAGGTAGGCTCTCTTACTCATGGAGAGACTAGTGGAAGGCAGTTACATCCTTGGGTATTTATGATATCAGAATCAAGGACTTAAGTTTTTCCCTACTATTTACATAAAAAGCTAGTTTATTTGAAAAAACTATCAACCAAGACTGCCAATAAAGTGGCACTTAGGAACTATAAGGTTATTTGACTCCCATACTCACCATCTGGAGGCATAAAAACCCTGGGGAATTTTATGATTAGCAAAGAAAAGTTGCTTTTTGTTTGATTGAATTTACTCAAATAGACCTCCTGAATACCAACAATGTTGAAAGCATTCTGTAAGAGCTGGGCCAGAATCCTAAATCCTGGAACTATTTATGGACTGGCTAATTTATTTATTTACTTTTTTTGGTAGTAGCTTTTAAGAATGTTACCTTCCTGTAAGGCCAGGATGCCCTGAGTACTAATAGTACACTTAACATGTTTGTGGTTCTCCTTTCCTTTATTAACATGTCTCACAATCCTTAATATGCTTCTTAGCTGTCCACCAGGAGGGCAGGGGCCTTGTCTATTCTGTTTGTAACCATATAATCTGCACTAAATTATGACCAGCACATGTATGAGTTCAAAAAATGTCAGTTGGCTGAATGAATGAATAAATGAATGAATGAATCTCATATAGTCCAACCGACCTAAGGAGAAGAGGGGAAAAGCGGGAAAAACCCAACACAAAAGTGAAGATGACAGTGACGGATAAGAAGAAAGATGAGCATCAGATCCATCACTTAGGGGTAAGCTTGATGCCAAAAAAATTTGCCATCATTCAACAACTGGTGATATCTGTTTGGAGATTCAAAATACCTGAAAAATTTTAAATGGAAAGTTATTCAATAATCTTAAGGTATTCTCTGGAAGACTCATTTGAAAATAAGTTAATGAAAACCCTGTTACTACATCAAGCTGTTAACAGAAGCCTAGTGCTGTGATGCTTCAAGATGCAGTGGACTCTGCTGAATACACCAGGTGAATGTCTAGAGTCCCATAGAGGGAGCGTAGTACACTGAGGACTTTTTCTTGAATGGTTTCAACTTGCTCAGAAGGACAGTAATCATCCAGACTTGACCTGGAACCGAGAAGAGAAAGAGAAAGGAAAGAAAAGAAAAATATACATAAGTAGAATGAGATCATACTGGGCAGTGAGAAAAAGCCTGTGTGTGTTGAATTCAATGTAAAGTAAAAATGAAGCTGTATTGAATTCTGGAATAATAGTTGAAAGCTACTAAACCTTGACTATATATCAGGTGCGTTACATGTATTATGTTCTTTAACTTTCTCAGCACTCTATGAAATAGATACCTTTACCATCCCTTTAAAGGAGTCAAACAGAGAAAGATGTATGGGTATGTGCTGGTGATGGGATTCAACACCATAAAGCACATCTCCAAAGCCTCAGTGCTTAATACTAGGCCCTTGTTTCCGTAAGAGGGAGATGTTGCTTGGGAACACTGGTGCTAATTATATTAGTGACTGGGCATCATGTTTCATATTCTTTTATTATGTGTACAAACAGGATAGAAATTATGAGAGTGGAGGCTTTCCAACTGATAAAAGGGTTCTGCCTCTATAAATAATCTGCTCACCACACAAGTGTACAAGATCATCCAAAATGAAATGTGTGGATGTGCTGGTGTTGGGATTAGTCTCCTAGGTTGTATTAAGGAGGAAATAGCAAAGAGGTATGGGGCAGGAATCTGTATTTTGAGTCTTTCTAGAATCACTGGCTACAATTTGGGTGGCACCAGCCAGTAACAATGTTGCTGACAATTTTAGCTGGGTTAGTATCTAAAATGATTTTATCAGTGCCTCCTGGCTCTGGACTAGGGTGAGGAAAGCCATTGGAAATTCCAATAGATTGGAAAATGGCATGGAAATGTTTATAGAAGGAAATGAAATTAGTTATCTAGCCTACTCCTTATTCAAGTATTTTAGACCTAAAGAAATTATCTGTAAGACTTCTGATGAGCTCATTTCATTCTATGATGATTAGGCTATATCTGAGGCTTGATATAAACATGTAACACATGATAAATGACACAGAGCAATTTTAAATTATTAAATACTGTCTAACACATACATAAGGATAAAGATCTTGTAGAAAGCATGATATGTAAAAGCTTAATTTATTAGCCTTAACAAAAAAGGGACACTGATGCTTTCACACAGATTTCTGTCTTCTTGAAAACAGTATTAGAGTAGCTCTTGATGGGAGCAACCCCCAGGAGGGAGTTTTGGAAATCTGCAGGTACATTTTTGTCACAATAACAATTAGGAGAGAGGGTCTGCATATTGTGAGTGTTTGCAATATGTAGGATACTACTGCAATATGAATATGAATTTTTCCTGTGTCCTGCAGTTTCCAAATAAAGTGGAGCACTTAAATAAGTGAAAAATTTGGTTTTAATTTTTTGAGCCTATTTTTTTTTTTTAATAGTCTTCTACAAATAGTCTGCTGTATTTTTGAAATTGTTTAAACTAAATTTTCCAGGAATGCAGATACTCTGTGAGCTGAGGGAAGATTAGACTTTAAGTTCAGAACTTTATCAAGAGCTTGCTGTGACTAGAATAACCATGTTTCTATAGCAGTGCTGTTCACGGTATTTGGGCAATACAACTGGCTGGATCTGTCTGCATTTTTAACTGTTACATTTACTGACTCTTTGTAAAGATTCCAGTTTGGTGTGGCATTTTAATATGTATTATTTTATCATCAATTACTCTTTCTCCTTTATGCTATTATTTTTTTAGTGTGTGTATATATTTAATATATATTTAAATTATATGTGTAGGTAGGTTATTGCTATAAGCTAAACGTTTACGTGCCCCCAAAATTCCTGTGTTGAAATCCAATTCCAATATGATTATATTTGGAGGTGGGGGTTCTTTGGAAGGTGATCAGGTCAGAGGGTGAAGTCCTCATGAATGAGATTAATACCTTTATTATTAAAGAGACCCCAGAGAGCATCTTCACCCCTTCCTTCTATGTGAGGTTAGAGAGAGAAGATGGCTGTCTATGAATCAGGAAGCAGGTCCTCACCAGACAGTGAGCCTGCTGGTACTCTCATCTTGGACTTCCTAGTTTACAGGACTGTGAGAAATATCCGTTGTTTATAAGCTACTTGGTCTAAGGTATTTTTGTTATTGCAGCCGGAACGGACTAAGACAATTACATCATCTATACATTGTATATGCTATCTAAATATATTTAAATTACATGTGTATGTGAAAGAAAGAAAGTGAAAGTCACTCAGCTGTGTCTGACTCTTTGCAACCCCATGGACTGTATGGTACATGGAATTCTCTAGGCCAGAATACTGGAGTAGCCTTTTCCTTCTCCAGGGGATCTTCCCAATCTAGGGATTGTACCCAGATCTCTGATTGCAAGTGGATTCTTTATCAGCTGAGGCACAAGGGAAGCCCAAGAATACTGGAGTGGGTAGCCTATCCCTTCTCCAGCAGATCTTCCTGACCCAGGAATCCATCTGGGGTCTCCGGCATTGCAGGAGGATTCTTTACCAACTGAGCTATCAGGGAAGCCCTATGTGTATGTATATTAGATTATTTATGAATTCATTCAGAATGGTAAAGAGAGTCACAAAAAACTTGTCATAAAATATGTAAATATTACTTGCCTGAACATTTAAAGTATTATTTTAGAAACACTTCCATGCAGAATGAGTCCAAAGATTAACACAGAAATTTTTATTAAATTGCTGTAACTATTCAGCACATTTATACATTCAAATGTAAAACACGGCAGCAGCTAAATATTTATCTGTATGACACAGATATCGGAATTTCTTATGTTCAACTGAATAACATCACCAACTTCAAAGACAAGATAACAGGAATTGTATGCTGTTTGCCAGCTACCACCAATAGGAAAGAGAAAATATAACACTTGAATTTTGAGCTGAGTAGGTAAAAAGTTGGTAAGAACTACTGTAATAGTAATCATTAGATTCATCTATGGAGACTTAATTTCCTACTGCCACTGTAACAAATCATTACAAACTTAGTGACTTAAAGTAAAACAAATTCATCATCTTATAGTTCTGCTGGAGGTCAGAAGTCCTAAAACAAAGGTGCTGGCAAGGCTGTATTTCTTCTCTAGGCTCTAGGCAAAGAATCTGCTTCCCTGCCTCTCTAGCTTTCAGAGGCTGCCTGCACTCTTCAGTTCAAACCCCATCTTCAAAGTCCACAGTCTAGCATCCTTCACTCTCTCATCCTGACCTTCCTGTCTTCCTCCTATTAAGACCTTTGTGATTACACTGGGCTCACCCAGATAATCCAGGATAATCTTTTCATTTTCAAGATCCTTAGGTTAATCATATCTGCAAAGTCCCTTTTGCCATATAAGGCACCATACTCATAAGTGCTGGAGATTAGGACATGGACATATTTGGTGGGCCATTATTCAAGCTACTACACTTACCTTGCAATTGTCACTAGAGTAGGTTTTGGAAAATTTTTTAGAACATTATGCAAAGACTGAATAAGATGTTCAATTTCTTGTTCTGTGCTGATATGGTGAGGGAGTTCTGAATAATCACAGGTTAGACCAGCCTGGTGAACCTGAAAATAAGACAATTAAAAATTGCATGGTAATGTTGTTGTCTTTAGAAGACTCATTAGCCATTAATGGCCTTGCTGACTAAATTTTTAATATTTTTGTGGATTAGGATTGCTTTTTCCTGAACAGTTTCCATGCCACAGAAATCTATTTTCTGATGTTTTGGAAGAACTGGTCCGTACACCTTTTTGGGCCTGATGCCTTTTCTAGGAACAATTTTAAAATTTATTTTATGATTGTAGATTCACTCTGTTTCTGTCTTTACTTGAGTCTATTTTGACAATTTACATTTTCTATCAAGTTATTCACTTTACTTAAGATTCTAAAAACTGATTTAAGTCTATACATAGTATTCTCGTATTTCCTTTCTTTCAAGAAATTATTTTACTTTTTAAATACATATAACAAGCACTACATTTAAAGCTTCAAGAGGATACAAGATGAAAGTCTTTCTCCTACCTTACTGAACCTACTGTTTCGAGTTTCTTGTGCATGCTTTATATATAACCATATATACTGATATACATGTGTTTTAAATGTAAATGACTGGTGTTTCAGTCTCAGCACTAAACTAAATATGCCTGAGAGCAAGAAATGGCCCACAGGCTGACATTTTGCAGTCACTGCTTTAAAGTTTTAAAAACTGGAATTCAAATATGTTATAGTTTTGCCTAGGGTACATAAGTGCAAAGCATGGGAAAAAACCACTAATTTACTATATTACTGGAGGCTCTGGATACACATCAAAGATTTAACTGGCAATGATTGGTCAATACACTAAAGAGAGAGACTCTGCATGTTCTTTTCTCCTAAAATGATCAAAACACTTAGTGTTCTAATCCTGCAGCTATGGGTACATCGCATCTGGCTACACAATCTGCTACCAGGCCTATGCCATCCTTTTTCTCAACAAACAATGTAGAAAACTCTTGCCCCCTCACCAGAAAATTCAGATGCAAAGTAATGACTAAAGTAGAAGATATTTTCAATAATATCATATGAGCTCAAAGCACTTTTAAACCCTAAGAGTCTTCTACCATTTTAAAAATTTGCCATTAAAAAAAAAAAGGCGAGCTTTGAGTTAGCTCTGATTTAACCAGTCTTTTGCTGTTATTTTCTATTCTTACAAAACTAGGATTAAATCAATATATAAACTTCAGTTCAAATAAGGTGATTTGATTATATACTACAACTAAATAAAACACTAAAGTAAAATCACAATTTATTAAATAAACACTACAAGTAAAAGAAGCAAAACTGGTGGTCTCAGCTCTGGCACAAAATTGGAGAAAAGGGGACCTGAATTTCAAATGGGAAAATTTATACTCATATATTGCAAAATGATATAAAAATAAAGAAATTACCATTAAGGGCATCTTCTTTTAAAATAGTATTCAGATTTGCTGTGCAAACAAAGTTATACAGCTAATATAGTCAAGATGTGCTGGCCACAAAGCCTTCTTTTGTCTGTTTGGGTTTTTTAATCAGAAAAGTTTTCAGAGAGGAAAGAAGGAAGTGTGAAAGGAGTATAAAAATGAATGAATAAAGAATGAGCAAATTTAGAAATTGTATACTTTCTTTACTCTGGCAAGGGGATATGTGATCATAGACAAAATTAAAAAGTCCATAGCCATCACTTCTTAGCCTTTTGGCTAAGATCAAGTGTAAAAAGTCAACAGCACTTTTACTTCATACATAAAATTAGCAAAAGCTTGTTTTTCCTGGAAAGCTTTTCCAGTATTCTGGCTTCTAAAAAGTATATACTTTTTCCACAAAAAAAATGTCCATTCATGCTTTCCAGGAACACAAATAAGAGTGAATCACTTTAACAGAGGGCACATTTTTCTAGCCACAAAAATGCCTTTCTTAAAGGGTCAATTTTATACTTCAATATAAACACTTACCATTTCATAGTCCGGTGCTTCCATCCGTTTTTTCAAACTCTGTACCAGTGGAACTAGTAATTCCATTCTGAAAAAAAGCAATAAAACATTACACCACCTCAATTAAAATGACAGTAGCAAATCATACATTACCCTTAAAATTTACCATTAACAACAACAACAAAAAATTTACCATTAACAATATGTTTTACATGATGTTTTGGAAATGAAAGATAAGAGTTGTTCAAATATCGTCTTAAAGTATTAAGAAATAAATGTTCCCTGCTGTTTTCTTACTTAAAAGATTACAGATTGTATTAAAGATTGAAAAGTAGCACTCAAGAATCTGAGATTTTCCTCTTTAAGAATGAAAATTCTACTATGACTTTAAAAATTATTTTGATCAGCAGTAAAACTAAGTGCCTTTAGCATACCGTGATGAAAAAAGATGGTTTCCCAAAAGCTGAGAAAAAAATTCAGGACATATGTATTGACATATACAATTATAACTGGTAAAGTTCTATACCATTTGATATAATAACAATGGTGCTTTTAAGTTATTTAATATAGGTGGAACTCTTTGGAAGCCTTGATTAATTAATGTTTCGAGTATTTTAATGCCTCCTCTACCAATACCCACTCATCTGCTGGGAGGGAAAAAGTAAACAAAAATGGAGGTATGGAGGCCTGTCTACCCACTGATCCTGTTACTTCTTCCTTCTTATTAATGACACTTTCTGGGGTTCTGGACCCTAGTCATCACCTTTCTACTTCCTTAGGAACAGTGAAGACTTGTTCATGCTGAGGGTATGACCCTTTTGGGGGTATGCTAAGTTTGGGGAGACTTTTCTTGCTGTCTTACTTTTCCTTTGGTTTTTCTTCAGGTCTGTGACAGAACTGCCTGCAGGTGGTGAAGATCTAAGCGTGCTCATCAGGATGGGTGGGTTTCAGTGGAAGGTGACTCCATCTATGAGCTAGATTCAGGATTCTAAAGTTGTCTATTTTGTTTGATTAAAGCTTAAGTTTGGCTTGAGACTTCACAAAATCACCAAATAGTAGGTACACAAAATATTTCTGGGGAGAATCATGTTCTGAGACTTATTTCTATCTCTCCCTCTTCCAACAAAATTTCAAAAAGGGGGGAATCATTTTTAGATCTAGTTCCCTCTACTAAAGAGAAAAAACTAACTTATGTTAAAGTGCCTAATTAATAGTTACTGGTATGATTAATATTACGATGGTTTATTCTTCCATACCACTGCCTTCCTTAATGACAATAAAGTTCTATGATATTTATATTTCAGGGATGTTTCTGAACATTTTATTTTAAAGTGAAAACTGCACTGAATATTCTGAATAGGTAATACACATAGCAAAAGATAGGAATTTTTAAAAAGCAATTTATCTAGCAAATTTAGCAATATATTTAGGACTAAAATACAGTAGAGTTGAAGAAAAAAATATTTGAGTCTTACCCAGGGTTTGAAGCCCATTTCTGTACAGTTTCTTCATCATCACCATCACACAAATCAGCAAAAGCAGCTTCTAAATCTTCTAATTGATGAATTCGATTATCAACACAATCTACCAAATCTTCCTTTAAGCACATTGAAAAGCTGAGATTATATAGTTACTCTTTCAAAAAATAAGTGAAATCCCATTACAATGAAAATTTCAATTCAATCAGTTAACACATGATTTTCAAGTACTAACCATGGGTTTCCCCAAGAAACACATATCAAGATTTGGGGCTGCTATTTGAGAGTACCCTAATATCAGGTAAGATACTATTAGCTATGTGATAAGTTGCTGTTGTTTAGTCACCAAGTTGTGTCCATCTCTTTTGCAATGCCCTGGACTGTAGCCAGCTGGGTTCCTCTGTCCATGGGATTTCCCAGGCAAGAGTACTGGAGCGGGTTGCCATTCCCTTCTCCAGGGGATCTTGCGGACCCAGGGATCGAACCTGCGTCTCCTGCATTGGCAGGCAGATTCTTTACCACTAAAGGGAAGCCCTTTAGACAAGACCAAAAGAAACGAAGGATACCTCTGTCAGGTTGCTTCCAGGCTTTTTAAATTGGTACAGCTCTTGTAAGATTTTGTACTCCTCCTGGAAAACAAAACAAAGAACCCATATAGTAGAAAAAAGATTAATTTTTCAATGATATACTTTAAGTAAAAAATGACATTGATACAAGAATATCTTAGATAATCATTTAAAGGAAGTCTGGGAAATCAGGGAATAATGTAATTCATTATTTCATTGTAAATATTATCCCTTCTTTAGGGTAACTATTCATCTGGGCATGATAACAATGTATAAAAATTAATTAAGGAAGAAGACTTGATGGCTAATAGGTAATGAATGAAAATATTTCTAATACTGTTCTACTTTATAAATGGATACATCCTAGCATCTAAACAGATTTTAGCTATGTATAGGAAATACAATCACTTCTCAGCCTTTTGGCTAAGATCAAGTGTATGGGAAATATATGTATCTTTGTAACAACAAAAGAAAACTTTTCACTTGCACTTTGCAGTCCATTCCCTAGCCACAGGAGAGAATGCTAGAGTACAAACAGATACAATGGGAGGATTTTGCAGGAGAATGTCTGTCCTCATTTAGCACAGCCAGGCAGCCCCTTTAGAGGTAGGTCTACCTGGCCCCATTTAGGAGCACTGTCAGGAAGGGTCTATAGGCAAGATCTAAAATTCCTTAAGCACAGTGCTGTGCACTATCCTCAGATAACAATTCTGTGATTGGGTATGATTATTATTTTGATTTTATACTTGAAGAAACCATGGATCTGAAAGGTTAAGTAACTTCCAAGATCGTGCAGCTAATAAGCAGTACAAGTAACAAACAGAACTTAAATCTTTCTGACTACCAAACATGTTCTTTAAAAAAAATAGCTATTACATTAAAAAGTATAGTACATGCTTTTTTCAGAAAGTTCAGTAGCACCAAACGGTATAAAGGACACAAAATCCCCACTTCCCCAGGTTTCCTTATGGCCCTGGAAAAGAAGTAACTGCCATTTAAGTCACTTATGTAACCTTTTAGAAATTCTCATTACAAATATTTGGTGAGTATACTTGTAGGATAAATTCATAAAGTCAGGTTTTTTAGCTTCCAGGTATGCCCATTCTCATGTTTTCTAAACATCCCTAAAGTCATTTTATAATTCTGAACGCTGGAAGTTATAGTTACTGGTACATTCACAACAGCAGGAAAGAAACAGTGGGCAATTTTTCTCTCTTACTTGCAAGTTGGGAGGGCACTCAAGGTCCCCCCACTCTTGCTCTAGATTACACTACAGATGACCTCTGAACAACATGGGTTTGAACTACACAGGATCATTTATACATGGATATTTTTCAGTATAGAGGAAAAGATTTTGGAGATTCGCAACAATTTGAAAAAAAAATCTGCATATCAACTGTACAGACTAGTAATATTGAAAAAAATTGTTAGGTATGTCATGAATGAATAAAATGTATGTAGATACTAAGCTATCCTTACACAGGCATAAGATAAATGATATTTAATATAAAATTAATAATATGTTAGTTTTCCTATGGCTTTATAACTTTGCTTTCAATGAATTACATTTTAAAGAATGCATGCCTCTCCAACTGGAGAAAGTGCATATCAACTTATCACAGATAAGTGGTATTGAAAAGTATATAACAACATTTCCAATACTGTATTATGAATATGACTATAATATGCTATAAAATTTTTATAATGATTCATTCATTAGTGTCCAGGTTAGGCTACCGTGAAGTAATTATATTGATTATATTAGGCTACCTAAAGCAATCACATTACTGATTCCTTGTTATCAATGTATTAATCACTATAAATGTAAATAAATATGACTTTATCACATCTTTTCATCTTTGACATCTGGTGTTAGTAATATATGTAGTAGTGTTTTATATAAGACAAATTGATATAGGTTCATCTTTAAACACCACATAAACATATAGTATTGATAAATACAGTTCAGTACTGTAAATGTATTTTCCTTATGATTTTCTCAAACTTTTCTCTACCTTATTATAAGAATTCAGTATATAATACATATAATATACAAAATATGTGTTAATTTACTGGTTACATTAACAGTAAGGCTCTTGTCATCAGCAAGCTATCAATAATTATATTTGGGGGAAGTTAAAAGTTATATCTGGATTTTGATTGCACATTTTTAAAACACCACATTTACCTGAGTGAACATTTCTTTGAAGGGATTCTTGACTGAAAAAAAATCTAAGTCAATATCTAAAACAAATGCATCCCTTTTCTCCAAAATTTCCAGAATCTCTCCAGTGCTAACTGCAGTATGGCATTCTTGGCTTTCAGAAGAACATGAACATGATGGTTGTAGACAAGTGTGGTCCCTTCTCTGTGTCACTGTGTCCTTTTCCAGTCCTTCTGAACAAGAGTCACCATTAGTAGAAGCAGTGTTCTCTGAGTCCTCCAGGGCTAGCTTTGGCTTCTTGGCAGAAGACACTACATCATTTTCTCCTTGACTGTGACAGAGTTTATAAGGTTTTACCATAATTACATCCAGTTGTAAAGGTTTTGGGTTCTCCAGCAGGTCTTCAGTTACATAAAGACCGTCACTTAGGAAGTAATGATCTGTACTTGTAACCCTGGATTAGAGGAAAAAAATTACTTTCAAGACAAGTGGACAAATTAGCCGGCAACATATAGAACTTTAGAAATACAAAAAAGGACATATTTGACACAAACTGAGAGCTGTCTCTATTTGTAGTTTCTGGAAGCAGGGTTCTCAAATTTCTAGCTTTGCACACAACTGCCCAAAGACCATATTTTGTAGTCTATTGTGCAGCTAGGTGGCTCAGAAGGTAAAGAATCTGCCTGCAATGTGGGAGACCCAGATTTGATCCGAGTCAGGGTCTGATTCCCGGAGTAGGAAATGGCAACCCATTCCAGTATTCTTGCTTGGAAAAGTCCGTGGACAGTACAGTCCATGGGGTCACAAAGAGATAGTCACAACTGAAGCGTCTGAGCACGCATTCACGCATTGTTCAGCTAGGTGTGGCCAGTTGACTCAGTTCTGCCCAGAAGTCGTGAGTTTAAGAGAAGTGTAGAAAGCCTTGCTCTCCCCTCCCCACTGACTGGCATGTGAACATGGTAGCAGCAAACCCCACTTGGACTCTGAGTTCAGAGGCCACACTCTAGAGAGGGTGGAGCAAAAAGATAGAAATTATTTGGGGTTTAACTGTAGGGCTGCCATATTGGCCCTGGACTGCACATGGTAAACTCTAACTGGAGGAAAGAAACGAAAGATCCTGTTTAACCAATGCTTTGGATCTCTGTCATACCAGCTGGAACTGCATCCAAAAAATCACTTGAGAGAAAAATTATACCTGGAAATAATATCTCTTGGTAGAAACTCCCTCTGACATATTTCAAAGCTTTATTAAATTTTATAACTGTAATATTTTAATATGTAAAGCAACTTAAAAAAATCCTGTGCAGAGTTTCATAAGTTACAGATTTTTTATTTTAGACATATCAGCATGTTCTTAGCTTTTCAACTGTATTATGCCTTGGTAAGTACTTTGAACAGTGACACCAAATGGCTCTTCCAGGGGTAGGACTTATCCAATTTAAAATGATGGTATTAATATTTATTTCTCATCCACCCCTCTTCAGCATATACAGCCTTATATTTAAAAAGATATAACTTTCTTAAAAAAAAATTTAACAACATAACAAAACCAATATCCAAGCTTATTAACAGTGGTACCACCCTAAGATTCCCAGGTGGTGCTAGTGGTAAAGAACATGCCTGCCAATGCAGGAGCTATGACACATGGGTTCGATCCCTGAGTCAGAAGGATCCCCTGGGGAAGGGCATGGCAACCCACTCCAGTATTCCTGTTTGGAGAATCCCTTGGACGGAGGAGCCTGGTGGGCTACAGTCCATAGGGCTGCAATAAGATGGACAGGACCAAAGTGACTTAGCACGCATGCACCACCCTAAGAAAGACAAATGCTGTATCCACCAACTTAAATGGGTATTTTTCTCTAATAAGGAATATCTTACTTTGTTCATATCTGTATACGCACACACACATCTCAGGCTGCATACCTATATGTGTGTCTCTTTCATAAATTTTTATTTGCAGGATTAACTAAAATCATGATAATCAATATCATCCTAATATTATTGTTACACATTGAGTTTCAAATGTCTGTTTCAGATTGCTGAGATTTGATTTTGCAGAAACCTGTTACAGGTTAAATAAGGCCTACTCATTAAAAAACCTAACCTTATTTCATACAAGCCAGTATTATGTATAACTTTTATTATCAACATCATTAAGAATAAATCAGAAAGAAAAAGTATCATTTTCATTGAGAAAGACTGCATTTCATTTTCAGTGTATTACCATTTCATTCTACTATCCTCCAGGTTCTAAAAGTTATGATTCCACTGTTTAAAACATTCACTCCATAACAAGAGAATTTAGAAAGCCAAGAACATTCTGGTATTTCTAAAGATGTTACAGTATCACAAGATACACAAAACAGTGGTTAAACAACTTACACAACAGAAATAGTTGTGCATATAACTCAAGTCAAAGGATGCTGTTAATTTACATTATATAATTATCGAAAGCTAATCATATTGATAAAATTTGGAATCAACTTTTAAGCCATTGAATTTATTAAAAAAATCAAAGTGAGATAATTTTGCTTTTTCAATGCTAATTGTTAAACTCAGCCGACAACACTTACATTGGAAGGAAATAATAAAATGTATTATTAAATACATTTGTATAAGGTACACCAATGATTTAATGGAGTTATCAACAGAGCCAGGGTTCCAGAGGATGAAGATCATTTTATTCAAAAATCAACTTGACCAGCAACAAAATACAAACGGTGTGTGAAAAAGATCAAGAGACTGGAAAACTTGTTCCTGGTGTTTCGAGAACTCTTTTTGGAAAAGTTGAGGGCTAATCTGACCCCAATTGTGTGTAGAGATACTTACAAGTTATTACAGGGATTCCAAAATGAGAAAGAAGTATCCACTCCCTTTCATACACATGAATATGAGGAAATTACCTGATTGTTGTGGTAGAAGTGTCTTTGCCTACTAAAAAATGATGCCTGCCCTCTCTGATTTGCTGAGCCCATGTGGGATGAAGCCATACTACATGAGAAAAATGGCCAGCATAAACTGCAGGCATAATCCAATTCTCAATACTTAATTCTCTGGAAAAGAAACAGAGAGAAAGCATAAGAACTATCAGTGAGTGGGTTTTTCCAAATATAATTTCATTCATGAGAATATTTTAAGATAGCAGGTTTCAAAGTGTGGTCCAAGGGACCTTGCAGGGTTTCCTGGACCTTTTCAGTGTGACCACTAGACCAAAACTGTTTTCCTAATAACATCAAGGCATTATTTCCCTTTTTCATTGTATTGACATATATGCTGACAGTACAAAACAGTAGTGGTTGATGTTCTAAGATTAATCAAGGCAAAGGCACCAAATCTCTACTAGCTGTGACTGTACTCATCAATACCAAGCACCAGTGCCCCACACTCCTATCCAGTTTTGCATGAGAATGTCTTTCATGATTTTATTCAATCTTTATCCTGAGTATACATTTTAAAATAATCTGTGTGGCAAAATAGGAAGTACACAGAAAGCATTTCTGCAATATACTGTGAAGTACCATGGTTGTCTCAAGGGAAAGCACTTGTAATTGAATTAAAAGCTGAACACAGTTTTCTTACAATGAAGATTGACTGATAAACCACAGTTGATCAGGCTTGAATGTGAATGCTGGATTCTACACTTTAACTAAGTTTTAAGGAATGAACATTTGTGAAGTTTTGGTATAGTACTAAAGAATATTCACAATTAGGTGGGCTTCCCTGGTGGCTCAGATGGTAAAGAATCTGCCTGCAATTCGGGAGACCTGGGTTCAAGGGATGGGAAGATCCCCTGGAGGAGGGCATGGCAGCCCACTCCAGTACTCTTTTCTGGAGAATCCCCATGAACAGAGGAGCTTGGCAGGCTACAGTTCACGAGGTCACAAAGAGTTAGACATGACTGAGCAACTAAACACACACAATAGCTGGGAAGGCTATCAAAATATTTCTCAATTTTCTTCATATACTTCCACAAAAACAATATATGGTAATAGACTGAATGCAGAATCTTGGGTATTCAGTTGTTTTCTATAAAGGCAAGTATTAAAAAGATCTGCAAACTATGGCTGATTCATGTTGCAGTTCGACAGAAAACAATGAAATTCTGTAAAGCAATTATCCTTAAATTAAAAAACAAATAAAACAAATTATAAGAAAACTGCAAAAATTTAAATACTGTTACCATTTTAATTTTTTTGCTTTAGAAAATGTTTGTCTTTCATAAAAATATTTATGCTAACATATAAACTTCTATTATTTTGAAATGAATTAACATTTAAAAAATATTTTTATTTATTTATTTATTTATTAAGTTGCAGCATGTGGAATCTTAGTTGCAGCACATAGGATTTAGTTTTCTGACCAGGGATCAAACTTGGGCCCCCTGCACTGGGAGTTTAAAGTCTTAGTCACTGGATCACCAGCGAAATCCCATGAAATGAATTAATATTTAAGACATCTCAGTTTTAATTTCAAATATGGTAAATATCACTAAATATAACCCACACACACACAAAAAAAACTCAAGAATTTTTAAGGGTATACAGAAATCCTGAGACTAAAAAATTTAAAACTATTATTCTATGACTAACTGTACAGTCATCATAACTGCTTCATAATTTTTTCAATTTATAAAATATAAAACCTCTAAATATAAAAGAGAGTAAGGACAATGGTAGAGTTACCACATTTCTTTAGAGATGAGAGTTCTGAGCTAGTTTTAGAGTCAACTAAAAGAAATGCAGTAGGTTAAAATTAATTCACACAAGCACTGTATTTAAAATTTTTTATTATAACAGGAGAATAACTGCTACATAACTTTTTATTTTGTAGGAATAGGCTACACTGTAATAAATACATAAGTAAAAAGACAATGACAGGACTTCAGGGAACTTTATCACTGAAGAGCACTTAGTAAGTCACCATTCACTGACTATGGTTTTATATAATGGAAAATCAATAGGATCTGTGACCTGAAAATAAAACATATAGGGAGGTTGGAGGGATTCAATACTGGAAGAAAGGATACACAAATTAAAGATGTGTTGCACATATGATTATTGAACTATTAGTTCAAGACACATTTTCCTGTGCCTCCATATCAGACTTCTAAAGGGGAGAAGAGAGAATTGGCTCAGATAATTTCTAAAGTCTTCTATTTTTAAAATTCTATATTCTAAAGCAAAGGTTGGCAAACACTGGTTGGGCGCCCGTTTTTCCAAATAAAGTTTTATTGGAACACAGCCACTGACACTTGTTTACATGGTGCTTACAGCTGAGTTCATACTACAAGGGCAAAAATATATAGGTGCAACAGAGACCATATGGTCAGCAAGTCTAAGATATTTACGATCTGGGGAAGGAAGGAGAGGGTGAGATGAATGGAGAGAGTAGCATGGAAACTTACATTACAATACATAAAATAGAGAGCTGATGGGAATTTGCTGTTTAACTCAGGGAACTCAAACAGGGGCTCTGTGACAATCTAGAGGGGTGGGATTGGTAGGGAGATGGGATGGAGGTTCAAGAGGAAGGGGACATATGCATACCTATGGCTGATTCATGCTGATGTTTGGCAGAAACTAACAAAATTCTATAAAGCAATTATCCTTCAACTAAAAAATAAATTAAAAAACATTTACTATCTGGATTGTTGAGAAAGTCTGTCCATATTTGCTCTAAATAAAATAAAAAAGGCAAACAAAACAAAAGCAAAACTCATGAGCTTAGTAAAAACTATTTCTTTTAACTGCTTATCATCTATTGCAAAGTGTATTTGAGACACATAAAAAGGTCATTAACAAAGTCACATATTACCCGAAAAGTGTTTCCTTATCAAATACAGTGTCAGCTGGCATATCCACAGGAATAAGGAGGTCTGGATGTGAATCAAAATGCACAAAACTTATATTACTTGCAGGAAGATGTTTTGAGCCAATGGCCCGATATATATAGGGCAGAACCTGTAAAAGACACATGCACATGTTCAGGATTGGCACTGAAATCATGAGTATATACTCAACTTCAGGCTGAAAAACAATGCTAAACTACAAAAAATTTGAAGCACACCCAAGCTGTGAAGAAAAAAGCAAGAGAATTCCAGAAAAACATTTGCTTTATTGACTACCCAAAAGCCTTTGACTGTGAGGATCACAACAAACTGTGGAAAATTCTTCAAGAGAGGGGAATATCAGACCACCTTGCCTATCTCCTGAGAAATCTGTATGCAGGTCAAGAAGGAACCATTAGAACTAGACATGGAACAACAGACTCATTCCAAACTGGCAAAGGAGTATGTCAAGGCTGTACATTGTCACCCTTATTTAACTTCTATGCAGAGTACATTACGTGAAATGCCGGGCTGGAATCAAGATTGCTGGGAGAAATATCAATAACCTCAGATATGCAGATGATACCACCCTTATGGCAGAAAGCGAAGAACTAAAGAGCCTCTTGATGAAAGTGAAAAGAGGAGAGTGAAAAAGTTGGCTTAAAACTCAACATTCAAAAAACTAAGATCATGGAATCTGGTCCCATCACTTCATGGCAAATAGATGGGGAAACAGTGGAAACAGTGACAGACTTTATTTTCTTGGGCTCCAAAATCACTGCAGGTGGTGACTGCAGCCATGAAACCAAAAGATGCTTGCTCCCTGGAAGAAAAGCTATGGCCAACCTAGACAGCATATTAAAAAGCAGAGACATTACTTTGCTGACAAAGGTCCGTCTAGTCAAAGCTATGGTTTTTCCAGTAGTCATGTATGGATATAAGAGTTGGACCATAAAGAAAACTGAGGGCTGAAGAATTGATGCTTTTGAACTGAGGTGTTGGAGAAGACTCTTGAGAGTCCCTTGGACAGCAAGGAGATCCAACCAGTCAATCCTAACGGAAATCAGTCCTGAATATTCATTGGAAGGACTGATGCTGAAGCTGAAACTCCAATACTCTGGCTACCTGATGCGAAGAACTGACTCATTGGAAAAGACCCTGATGCTGGGAAAGATTGAAGGCAGGAGGAGAAGGGGACGACAGAAGATGAGCTGGTTGAATGGCATCACTGAGTCGATGGACATGAGTTTGAGTAAGCTCTAGGAGTTGGTGATGGACAGGGAAGCCTGGTGTGCTGCAGTCCATGGGGTCGCAGAGTCGAACGCGACTGAACTGAACTGAAGTTGTGAAGTAGGAAAATATGTAATTTGTTACTACAGATGGTTTAGATAATCAGCTCAAACTATTTTTTTCCTCAGAACTTTGGACTGACATCTCTGAAAACTTTAATGGGCATCTCTTGTTGGCATGTTACCCTCATCATAAACTCAAAAACAATGTGAGGAAACAAGCTTTGTTACTCAGGAAAAAAAAGAAAAAAGAACTCCTGGTTAACACACACTCTGGCGTAAAAGATGCATTCAAGCTACCCTGGGTCTCTGCGTCTTTCTCACACCTTCTGGATGCTGGTTGCTGGGCTAGGTCCCCTGTAAGGCTCTTTGTTTGGTTACAGTCTCTAGAGTTCTAAGTTAAGATTGAATTTGAACGCACCACCTATCCCATGCTTGCTCTCAGACCCAGGCACACTATCTCTAGGTCCTGAGAAACTAAATTTCCTTCCTATTCTCTTTATTCATCCGCAAATCTGGAATCGGCCTCTTCCTTTTTAACATCCACAGAATTTCTAAGGATTATTAAAGCGATCAAAAACATAAAAGTCTTCGATCATGGGACTCTCGCAGGCTTCCAGAAATCTAGCTGTGAGCACCATTTTAGCTAAAGAAGCACTACTACAAATACAGAAAAATAACTTTATAGCGCCGTGTTTAAAGATTCATGCACACACTATTCACACAATAACACTAACAGCTCTGAGAGCTACTCTGTACCCATTTCACAGATGACAGTGCACATTCTCAACAGAAGCCTCCCATCTACACCACAGAAATGTGAAGGGGAGGCCGGGAGACAGCAGGAAGCCTGTTATGAGCAGGTTAAGGACTGACCGCATTCGAATCCCGAAGCCACTATTGTTGGCCGTGGGATGTTGGGCAAACCGCAAGGGTTCACTGAGTTGTCGGACTCGTAACAAGCGGCGCATAAACGTCGAGGCCTATTCTTGCCAGCTCGCCGTCCTGGTGTTTTCCCCACAGCAAAGCAACTCGCTTGGATTCTGGTTCTCTCTCTGGCCTCCAGGCTCCGCCGCCTCCTCAGTCCTCGCACGACCCTGCCCCAGCGCCCGTCAGCCGCCCGCTCACCTCCTGATGATCCTCCACCACCCACACCGGGAGCTCAGGATAGCGCCGGAGCCGGGCACGCTGTCCCCCGGATTCACTCATGTTTTCGCGCGCGTGAGAGCCCCAAAAAGCCGGCGCTGAGGTGCCCTCAGGAGCCGGAGCTGCAGCCCGCCTCCTCTCCCGGGAGTAAACGCGCGCTCACCCGGTTGTGGTTTCGGATTGGAGGAGGAAAGGGGCAGGAGGCGGGCGCCAGAGACTCGAGGAGAACGATTGGCTTAGATGTCTATCGTTCTTATTGAAGCACCAATCACCGTGCACAAGGCGCTGCGGCGAGGCCGAGAGCATCTCCTCTTGCGGTCCGGCTTTCTCAGGTTTGCTTTTTAATTCTCTTGCTTTCCTGTTCCGGAGCCGCGGGCGGTGCTACGGTCTTGGAGCCTACACTATAAGTCTGGCTTTACTCTAACGGCGACCTCGCAGCCCGAGAGCATTTTCTAGGTAAAAGGGTCAGCTTGTGGGTGTTGGAAGAGGGAGTGTTTCCAAGTATCCGAATTTCAACGGGGCTGGCGTCTGGGGCTGGGGCGAGAGGCGCCTGGGAGTTAGGATCCGGCAGCTCCTCTTCAGATCTGCAGCGGAGGGAAAAAAAAAAAAGGACCCTAGGCCCGTACCCTGCAAATAAATAGTAGTGAAAAATGATACCTTTCATTCATTGTGGCGCGCATGTGGTGCTCCAGGCCTGGAGCCGCCGGGATCTCGGGCGGGGAGTGAGACTGTAAGTTTACATCGTGGGGCTCACTATCTGGCGGGAGATGTAAACAGGGGAACACGCAATTACGGATAAGCCAGACATAAGTGACCGGGCTGGGAATTCAGGTGGTGGAGGAGCGCGTTAATAGAAATGTAGTCACACTTTGCAACTCTTTGTACAAAGACTGATGTTCCTGCACATGTTAATTGCAAAACGACTCCCCTAGTTTCCCTGCTTCCAAACAGCAACTTAAGAGGAGGCAGACGCCGAAAATAATTACTTTTCCAGTTGCAGTGAGTTTCTTGAGTTTTGAATTGAAGTTCATATCCACAACACAGCCTGACTGTGCCTTTGATAGGTCAGTTTCATAATCAGTGTTTTCAGATACCTATTTCTAGAAATATCCATGAGGACCTAATAGTGAATGTTCACCAACAGTGAACACACTGTCCAGGAGTATTGGTCATCCTGACTCTTGTCCACCTCTAGATTCAGTACACTCCTTTGTGTTTCCCCTGGATTCTGTGCATATCCCTTTTCTTGTGTTTATCACATTATGTAATTTTTTAAAAAATCATCTGGGCTTCGGGAGCCCTGCTTACTATGTGCCTTACTCATCTTTGAGTGATCAGGGCCTGTGACCATGCCCCACCTGTCTAGGCTCATTAAATGTTGCATGAATCAGTGAAAAGGGCTGCTTTTTGTCTGGTTTTGGTAATGCAAACCTATTGTGGATGTGTATATATTCAGTAGGGAAATGTCCAGTAGCAACATAGAAACATATGGTGAGCCAGTGAACACTTACTGATCACCTACTGTGTGCAGGATGTTCTGCTAGGGGCTGTGAAGGATACAGAAGTGATTATGAGTCAACCCAATTTATCAAGGAGCTAATAACCTAGTGGAGGAGTTAAGACATGTACACACATGATTATTATTTGAGGCAGTCTTTGGTAAGTGCTGTAAAAGAAGTAAGTACAGACTAAGGGCAACGAAAGTCTTGAGGGAACGGGATTACTTCCTAAAGGAAACCAAGATAGGCAGCACAGAAGATGTGGCATTTGACATGGGTAGATGGGTTAAAAATTCAATGGGCAAAGTCACAGGGGTTTTAGAAGACCAGGAGTAAAGAATAAGCTGGATGATAATACTTCATATTTTAGGAACTGGGAACATCTAGGGTGATAGGAAAGCTTCCCAGGTGGCCCTAGTGGTAAAGAACCTGCTTGCCAATGCAGGAGACATAATGAAAGGAGGGTTTAATTTCGGGGTTGGGAAGGTTCCCTGGAGGAGGGCCTGGCAACCCACTCCAGTATTCTTGCCTGGAGAATCCCATGGACAGGGGAGCCTGGTGGGCCACAATCCATAGGGTTGCAAAGAGTGGACATGACTGAAATGACTTAGCACACATGCAGGATGATAGGCACTTCATGGGAAAGTTAATGGAGGATTAGCTTGGAAGAAGTTGGGTCCAGATTGCAGAAGGCCTTAAATGCCAAGCATGGAGTTTGAGCCTGATTCTTTTGGCCCTCAGTAGCTGTGGTGACAGGAGGGGCTGTCTAGGCCCAGGTTTATCATGAGGGTCTTGAACTGAATGATAATCATTCAGTTCAGTTGCTCAGTTGTGTATGACTCTTTCTGACCCCATGGACTGCAACATGCCAGGCTTCTCTGTCCATCACCAACTCCCGGAGCTTGCTTAATAGCTCATGTCCATCAAGTGTGTGATGCTATCCAACCACCTCATTGTCCCCTTCTCCTCCGGCCTTTAATCTTTCCCAGCATCAGGGTCTTTTCCTGTGAGTCAGTTCTTCCCATCAGGTGGCCAAAGTATTGGAGTTTTGGCTTCAGCATCAGTCCTTCCAATGAATATTCAGGATGTATTTCCTTTAGGATGGACTAGTTGGATCTCCTTGCAGTCCAAGGGACTCTCAAGAGTCTTCTCCAACACCACAGTTCAAAAGCATGTTCTTCAGTGCTCAGCTTTATGGTCCAACTCTCACATCCATATATGACTACTGGAAAAACCATAGCTTTGACTAGACGGACCTTTGTCAGCAAAGTAATGTCTCTGCTTTTTAATATGCTGTCTAGGTTGGCCATAGCTTTTCTTCCAGGGAGCAAGCATCTTTTGGTTTCATGGCTGCAGTCACCATCTGCAGTGATTTTGGAGCCTGGGAAAATAAAGTCTGTCACTGTTTCCATTGTTTCCCCATCTATTTGCCATGAAGTGATGGGACCAGATTCCATGATCTTAGTTTTTTGAATGTTGAGTTTTAAGCCAACTTTTTCACTCTCCTCTTTTCACTTTCATCAAGAGGCTCTTTAGTTCCTCTCTGCTTTCTGCCATAAGGATGGTGTCATCTGCATATCTGAAGTTATTGATATTTCTCCTGGCAGTCTTGATTCCAGCTTGTGCTTCATCCAGCCCAGTGTTCCTCATGATGTACTCTGCATAGAAGTTAAATAAGCAGGGTGACAATATACAGCCTTGATGTACTCCTTTCCTGATTTGGAACCAGTCTGTTGTTCCATGTCTGGTTCTGACTGTTGCTTCTTGACCTGTCTACAGATTTCTCAGAAGGCAGGTCAGGTGGTCTGATAGTCCCCTCTCAAAGAATTTTCCACAGTTTGTTGTGATCCACACAGTCAAAGGCTTTGGCGTAGTCAATAAAGCAGAAGTAGATGTTTTTCTGGAATTCTCTTGCTTTTTCTGTGATCCAGTGGATGCTGAAAATTTGATCTCTGGTTCCTCTGCCTTTTCTAAATCCAGTTTGAACATTTGGGAGTTATCGGTTCACATACTTTTGAAGCCTGGCTTGGAGAATTTTGAGCATCACTTTGCTAGCGTGTGAGATGAGTGCAATTGTGTGGTAGTTTGAACATTGTTAGGCATTGCCTTTCTTTGGGATTGGAATGAAAACTGACCTTTTCCAGCCCTATGGCCACTGGTGAGTTTTCAGAATTTGCTGGCATATTGAGTGCAGCACTTGCACAACATCATCTTTCAGGATTTGAAATAGCTCAGCTGGAATTCCATCACCTCCACTAGCTTTGTTCGTAGTGAGGCTTCCTAAGGACCATTTGACTTCCCATTCCAGGATGTCTGGCTTTAGGTGAGTGATCACACCATCGTGATTATCTGGGTCATGAAGATCTTTTTTGTACAGCCCTTCTGTGTATTCTTGCAACCTCTTCTTAACCTCTTCTGCTTCTGTTAGGTCCATACCATTTCTGTCCTTTATTGTGCCCATCTTTGCATGAAATGTTCCCTTGGTAATCATTAATGAAATATTATTTGGTGTCTACTTTCTATTAAGCACAGTGATTAATAAGGCTAAATAATCTGAAACTATTTTCATGAGCCATTTGAAAATTTGCCTTAAGCCTGTTGGTAAAACTTTTGGTTAGAAAGACTTTAGGAAGATGCTTCTAAATCGAAACTTTCTGCAGTTAATGTTTGTTTGGATTTTTAAAACATTTGGCTGAAGCCCAAATATTTGGAAAGCTTTGCTCTTCATAACATTCTTCAGTGGGAAGGACTGAGAATGAAAATCAAAGAAAACTGTTATGTTGACCAGATTATAGTTAAGTTTGAATCTAAATGCTAGTCTCACTGAGGGAGAAAGAATGTGGAGTGGGAGAGCAGAAATGATTTTTCCCTCCCTGGTCTTTTAGCTGATTAGAGAGGGAATATGCCTAAGTTTCCAGTCTTTTAAGCCACTGATTTTTTGAGTCATAGAGATGAGTACTTCAGTTCAGTTCAGTTGCTCAGTCGTGTCCGACTCTTTGCGACCCCATGGACTGCAGCATACCAGGCTTCCTTGTCCATCACCAGCTCCTGGAGATTGTTTAAACTCACGTCCATCGAGTCGGTGATGCCATCCAACCATCTCATCCTCTGTCATCCCTTCTCCTCCTGTCTTCAATCTTTCCCAGCATCAGGGCATTTTCCCATGAGTTAGTTCTTCACATCAGGTGTCCAAAGTGTTGGAGTTTTGGCTTCAGCATCAGTCCTTCCAATGAATATTCAGGACTGATTTCCTTTAGGACTGACTAGTTGGATCTCCTTGCAGTCCAAGGGATTCTCAAGTCTTCTCCAACACCACAGTTCAAAATAATCAGTTCTTCGGTGCTCAACTTTCTTTGTAGTCCAGCTCTCACATCCCTACATGACTACTGGAAAAACCACAGCTTTGACTAGACGGACCTTTGTTGGCAAAGTACTTAGGACATCTTAAAAATTAGTTGTGAACATTAGTTCAGCATGCTCTTAATTTTATTAGTATGCTAACTATATTGGAGCATGCAAAATCAGTGTTAAGATAATCACAGAAATATTTTCTAGCATGAGCAG